TCTCACCTACATCGTCCATATAGGACGACTCGGGAACTCAACTCCTACCCCGGGCAGCTCACCTATCCCCTTATACCCAGGGGAAAGGTATCAAGCCGTTTGACAGCTGGTGCTGGCTGTCAAACCGGCTTTTACGCGAAACAGGCGGGAGGCAGCAAACAGCTGCGACCGACGAAGTCGCCTGCCACCGGAAGTCCCTTTTTCTTCTTTTTTACAAGTAAATAAAATAGCAGGTCCCCATAAGAGTAGGAACTTTTTGGGTCCCCAAATTCCAAAAAGAAATGTAAATCCAATATATTAAGTTGTTCTTTTCAATGCTTTGTTTCCCCAGGTAGTTAAACGCCGCCATTTTAGAGGGTGGGGGAAAAAAATTCCCTTCCCTCCCTCCTCACAGGGGGAAGACTTTCAAAAAGCTTTTAACAGGAAAGTTACTTGGGATATAGAGAAGGTAAGATCTCACCCAATTCCTCCGCGTTGCTTTCAAAGTGCTTGTTAGTAATTTTGGCCTCGGCTGCTAGCAGCTTAGTGATGGGCCATGTTGATGGCCGATCTTTCCCCGACGGTTAGAAGAGCTGCCCCGGATCAAACGGGAGGGCTGCCGCCCTTCCGCGATCACTCGGGGGTCCTCTTCACGCTCATCACCCCTCCAGGGCTACTTCTGATCCTCTTCAGGGTCCCCCGGTGGGAGAAAACCGTACGGCGGAGAGAGCGATCGCCCCGCACGTCCGCCTGCGCCGCGATCACAAACCAGAAGCCTGGGTTGCAGCAATGTTTTGTAGGCTCTTCACACCTTCCCTTCCGAGCACGGAGATAAACTATTTGCCAGAGGCACATTCCTTTCGCCTCCCCCCTTTGCTAGCTGACATCAAGGGGAGAGATGCAGAAACAGCAAAGTGCTACAATGTAGCGACAGAGGAAAATAAAGCAATAGCCCGCAGTGCTTTTCCCCCTCCCCTCCAGGAGCATGGTAGAACCCAGAAGTATAGAGAGAACAGAGATTGAGTTTAAAGCAAGAAAGGGGTTCCCTTAGAATATGGGTTCTGACAGGAATTCAATATAATGCAAACACAAGAAACAGACCATAATCCAACCAGTGTCTAAATCTTTAAAAGAGCTGATTTTAACAAACTCAGAGCATGGGAAAGATTCCATGGATGAAAAACATGAAGGAGAAAACAAGAAGCGTGGGAAACTCTGAAAACATAAAAGCCCAGTCCAGCACAATACCACTGAAAAAGGAAAACAAGAAATCCAAGAAGAAACCAGTATGGTTGCACAAAGATCTCTCTGATAAACTGAAAGACAAAAAGGATAAGTACAAAAAAATGTAAAGAGGGACAGATTGTATCTCCTACTTTGTAACTGGGTTTTCCATCCTTCCCATCACTACCTCATTATGTTTTTCTTTTTTTTCTTTCTTTCTCTTTGCTCCCTACCTCCTTATATTATCTAGTGGTTTTTGCTTGAAATTAGGTTCTAAAAGTCGTGAAGATTGCCCCCCCTCCCCCCTCAATTTTAGTTTAAAGCCCTTTTGATAAGATGAGCCAGTCGTTTTCAGAACATATTCTTTCCAGTACTTGTGAGGTGCAGTCCATCCCTTGCCTGATGGATTACATCCCAGAGTTCTGAAGGAGCTGGCAGATGATACATCAGAACCCTTCAACCAGAGGACTGGAAAAGAGCTGATGTAGTTCCCATCTTCAAAAAAGGAAAAAAAAATGGATCCAGGAAATTACAGACCTATCAGCCTGACCTCAATACCTGGGAAGATTCTGGAAAAGATAATCAAACAACGAATCAGCGAACACCTAGAGGCAAACAAAGCCATTACTAAAAGCCAACATGGGTTTGTCAAAAACAGATCATGCCAGACAAACCTTATTACATTCTTTGACCAAGTGACAAAATTAGTGGATCAGAGGAATGCTGTAGATATAATTTACTTGGACAAGTCATTCCGTAAACTATTTCATCTAGTGTTGGATGATGAGCTATTCTATCTTTTTACACCCAATCTGTCGTAGTGGTGGTCTACCTAAGCATCGACCGACTGGCCGGCATGAGTCGCACACCAGGAGTTACCTTGGCGTAGATGTACCTCCCTTCAAACATCACCCCACGGGGTCCCGACTGTTCTAGGCCCAGTGCTCCTCAACATCTTCATCAATGATTTGGACGAGGGGATAGATGGGGGGGGGAACTCAAGTCTGACCTTAGCCATGAAAGCCAGATGTGTAACCTTGTGCCAGTCACACTCTCTCATCCCAATTCACCTCACAGGTTTATTGTTGTGGGGAAAATAGGAGGAGGAAGGTGTGTTGGATATGTTCACCGCCTTGATTTATTTGTAAAAACAAGGTGGGGTATACTGTAAATAAATAAATACATGAATTAGGGGCAGTGGGTAATGGTCTCTCACTGACACATCATTAAGGGCTTTGTAGTCCTGGATGGTTCTCAGGATTGGGTTTGCGGAACCTGGGTCTTGCTTCTTGGGTACAGAAAATGTAGGTGCTGAAGCTGGTGATTTTGAAGGTCTGATAAAGCCCTTTTGCAGGTTAGAGTCCAAATACTGCTTCAAAACTGACAGTTCCTTAGCTAACTCTCTCTTAGTACCACAAAGTGTAAAAGTACAAAGTGACTAAATTAGTGGATCAGGGAAATACTGTGGACATAGTTTACTTAGACGTCAGTAAGGCATTTGACAAACTAGACCACAACCTACTCTGGTAAGATAGAAAAATGTGGGATAAACAGCATTACCAACTGGCTGACCAACCGCACTCAATATTTAGTCCTCAATGAAACAGCATCTAAATGGAGGAAACCTGCAGTGGGGTAGCTGAAGGTTCTGTCTGAGGCCCAGTACTGTTCAACAGTTTCATAAATGATTTAGATGGGATAGAAGGGGAACTCATAAAATTTGCAGACGTCACCAAGCTGGGGGGATAGCTAACACTTTAGAAGATAGACTCAAGATTCAGAAGGATCTTGATAGACTTGAACACTAGGCCCTATCCAACAAAATGCAATTCAGTGGTGAGAAAACTAAGGTCTTACACTTAAGCAGGAAAAACCAAATGCACAGATATAGAATAGGTTAGAATAGAATAGGTACCTGGCTCAATGGTAGTGACTGTGAGAGGGATCTAGGTGTCCTAATGGACCATCACTTAACTATGAGCCAGCAGTGTGCTGCAGCTGCCAAGCAAGCCAATGCAGTCCTAGGCTACATCAACAGAGGGATAGTGTCAAGATCATGTGAAGTGATAGTACTCCTTTATATTGCATTGGTGAGACCACACTTAGAATACTGCGTCCTGTTCTGGTTACCACAATACAAAAAAGATGCTGAGACTCAAGAAAGCGTGCAGAGAAGAGCAATGAAGAACATAAGGGGTCTGGAGTCTAAACCATACGATATATTGACACAGGATTGAAATGTATATTTTGGAGTTTGCACAAAATTAAGTCCCATTGATATGTTATTGAAAAATAAAATTCTTGTTATCACTATCCAATGAACAAAATATGTTCAAAATACCTAGGTACTAATTAAATACATTATTTATTTGATGTGGTAATGTAGGGATATGCAATTTAAGTAGACTATAGAATGCCAAGTATAAATTTCCCTTTCATATCATCGCAGAATTGTTCAAAAATTAAACAGATTAAGTATTTATGAAAAACAATACCAAGCAAATTGTCATATGAATGTGAATTTAAATATGTAATAATATAAGGAGTGTATATTAATTATTTGCCATTAAGTCATTGTCAATTTTTACTGAGCATACTGTAGGAGAAGGACTGGAAGAGCCAAGGGGAAGGGGGAAGAGAGGAATCAGCCTAGAATCACTACGTAGTTGCAGACAAACTAAGTCCATCCCCCCCCCTTGACTGCCATTCACCCTTATCTAACTCTGACCAAATGCTGATGGTTAGTTGAGAAGATTCCTGTGCATAGGCTTTTAGCAATAAATCAGTTAAATTGAACCTTCACATGTGGACCTGGTCTTTCGCACCTGACAATAAAGACAGGTTTTCTCCATCATGATCTGTCCTTAACATGGTCTTTCAAGTCTTCCAATGGTGCACTCATCACCATCATAACAGAGTTTTTCTATCTTACTGCTGGTTGTCCTCTTCTTCTCTTTCTCTTCCACCTTTCCCAGCATTAGTCTTTTCCAAAGCATTGGGTCTTTATGTAGTTTTTCTGAAGTGAAATAATTTGAACTTTGTCTTTTGTGCCTTGAGTTAGAACTCAGGATTGATTTGTTTGATGATATTAATAGTGCTTCTGTGTGTTTAAATTTCAGGTAAACCAGCTATAGCTCATAGAGACTTGAAATCAAAAAATATATTAGTAAACAAAAATGGAACATGTTGCATTGCAGATTTAGGGCTGGGAGTGAGACACGATTCAGCTACAGATACAATAGATATTGCACCAAATCACAGAGTGGGAACAAAGAGGTAAACTGATGCTCTTTTACATAATCCAAACCTGAAGACATGCTAATAAGTAGATGTTAAAGAGAGCAGTTATTCCTACAGCAGTTGGAGAAAGTCTGTTGAACCTATTAGAATCCTGCAGTAATGTGACCTATCATGTGATCAGAGCTTCTTCTAAGTTCTATTAACATAAAAAGAATCTCGTTGCAGGTTTCACAACTTTCTCTCACTACTACATCATGAAAACCAGTATAATAATATGTACCTCATATTGAACTTGGATTTGGAATCTCAACTTCAGCATGGACTCATTTGAAAGTTACTGCCTGTCATCCTAACTTATTGAATAAAAGTAATTACCCTAATAAAAGTTAAACATTGCTGCATGCTCACAAATGAGAGGAAATAATAAACTGCCTCATTCTTTCTTCCTTTACTCGACTCCAGTAAGTGTTCTAGAACTGCTGAGCAGTGCCTTCTCTTTAAGTGTGAAGGCGTAAGTGATTCAAAGGTGACCCTCTTCTCCGCAGAGTAATAAAATGGAGAAGAAAGATGTACCCTAATCTTTGGACTAGCATTTTTCAGTTATTCTTGGTAACCTGCTGACGTAATTTTTTAATCTTGGAAATTCTTCTAAATATAAATGAGGTATAAAGTTTCCATTGAAATTGGTATTGGCCTTGTTTTAACCAATGACAGATAAACTTCTATCTGAAATGTACTGTGCTACTTTAGGTTCCACATGAAATATTACATAGTAGCAAGCTTATCATAAAATTTAATTCCAGTCTAGTTTTCTCTGACAAATCAGTTTTCTTTATGGAAGAGTATTCTGTCAGAAAAAGACCCTCACCTGCAGTCTGATATAGTGAAATCCAATTATTTGTTCATTTAGTCTGTTGTCCATCTCTCAATGCCTTGTTTTGCCAGAAATCTTACAATATACTCTAGTCAGTAACAGAATTAGAAGAACATAATATTTATATGTGAAGTAGCCATGCGAGGTGGCAGCAGATAGCCAAACCTGACTGATCTTAAAAAACTAAGCAGGGTCAGATATGCTTAATATCTGGGACTACCAGAGTTGTAGGCTAGAGTTGAAAATAACAACCCTAGCAAAACAAATTCACAAATCACTTTAATGAGAAGAAAACATTATCTATGAAGTCACCAGGAGTAAAGCTTGACTCAGAAGACAACTGAGTTCACTTGACTCTCCCTGAGGATCAACAATGTATGCAGCAAACCAGTGATGCCAAAATGATGATGCACATGGAATAATTACATCATACAAGTACACAAACACGTATCTTGTGCCCCTCCTCCTCTCCTATAGAGACAATACTCATTCCCTCTGATAGTTCAGAAATACAGATTCATTCTTCACATTGTGTTTTCACTGTTTGCCAGTTTGTCTAGCCAGGTTGGTCTAGTGGTCAAGGCACCAGGCTAGAAAGCAGGAGACTATGAGTTCAAGTTCCCGCCTTAGCCATGAAAGCCAGCTGGGTGACCTTGAACCAGTCACTCACTCTCAGCCCAGCCCACCACCTCACAGAGTTGTTGCTGTGGGGAAAATGGAAGGAGGAAGGAATATTAAGTATGTTTGCTGCCTTGAGTTATTTGTAAAAATTGGATATAAATAAGGTGGGATATAAATTAAATGAGTTGTTTTTTTCCATCACTTTGCTGGATACAGCTGAGTCTATATCTAAGAATCCAGTCATTTATTTTTCTTCCTTGTTTCATTCAGACTTTATATTTGATACGGGGCCAAGAGAACTTCAGAGTTCAGTTCCCTCCATCCCCTCATATTACTCAAGGGCCCAAAGAATCTCTAAGATACTGAAGGAGGAATAGCACAACACAACTCTAGGGCAGCCTCAAGAGTCGTCCTCTCCAGTATTGGAGAAGGATTCACATTTTGATACACAAAATCCTTAAAGTAAAAATAAACATGAAACCAGAGACTTTTCTTTTGGGTTTAATGGAAAAAGATTTGGAAACTTTGTTCCTGTATATGTTGACGGCAGCAAGACTACTGTATGCACAAAAATGGACATTTCGATTCCCACTATGGATGAATGGCTACAGAAGTTGATGGAGCTGGCAGAGATGGCTAAATTGACTGTTTTGATTAAAGAAAAGAATACAAGTACCTTCGTTTCTACATGGAGACCACTTCTGGACTTTGTGCTGGAAAAAAATGAAACTTTGATTCTGGGTTTCACTGATTAGATTCATTTGTTGTTACAGAAATGGCTAGTTTTTACTATTGTGAAAAAGTAAAAAGTTGAGGCTCGGTGTTAATACTCTATTCTACTGCAATGGGGGAAGTCGGAAGTCAATCTCTTTTTTTTTCTTTTTCCTCCCTTTCCCTCCCTTCTCCCTTTTTCCTCCCCATTGTGTCCTACTATTTGCTTTGTAGTTTGTATTTTACTGTACAACTTAATAAAATGTTATTTTAAAAAAGAGTCTTCCTCTCCAGCTTTGTAGAGTCCACTTGCAATAAAGAAGTAATAATTTTCTTTTTAATAAATTTACAGACATTTCTAAAATTCTGTTTTCACTTTGTCATTATGGGGTACTGAGTGCAGATTAATGAGAAGAAAAAATGAATTTCAACAACTGTAGAACCAGGCTGCAGCATAACAAAATTGACAAAAGTGAAGGTCTGAATACCTTCTGAATGCACTGTATACTTCAAACAGTTGTTACTTTTTAGAATTGAATTAGCCAAGGGCTACAGCTGCTTATGATGCCTTTAAAAATAAAATGTAAATAATGTTCAAGCAGCACTGCTTTATAAATAATATATATTTGTCTTTATATTCATAGGTACATGGCTCCTGAGGTACTTGATGATTCCATAAACATGAAACATTTTGAATCTTTCAAAAGAGCAGATATTTATGCAATGGGACTAGTTTTTTTTGAAATAGCTCATCGATGTTCAGTTGGTGGTAGGTGCAAATAGAAAAACAAATTAACTTCAATCAGTGTCAGAAATGAACTTTAATTGTGTTTATGTTTATATATCTCAGGAATCCATGAAGATTATCAGTTACCATATTATGAGCTTGTCCCTTCTGATCCTTCAGTAGAGGAAATGAGGAGAATTGTTTGTGAACAGAAGTTACGACCCAGTATTCCAAATAGATGGCAAAGCTGTGAGGTAAGTTCTTTTCTTTAGTTAAGTTTTACAATACTTTTAAAAATAAAGCAATATTTTTAAAAAATCAATATTTTGATTTTAAAATTTGAATTAAAAGAACTATGTCAGGATTGTTCTGTTTAAGATTATGGACTCATACTTTGTATTTATGTATAAATGTGTTTAAAATGTTTTGGTTTGTGATACCAAATAATGACTCATGAACTATTTCCTGTTTTTTTTTTATTTGCAGGCATTACGTGTAATGGCCAAGATTATGAGAGAATGCTGGTATGCCAATGGTGCAGCTAGACTAACAGCTTTACGCATAAAGAAAACTATGTCACAACTCAGTGAGCAAGAAGGAATAAAAATGTGATTTTGAAAATAATATTCAAGAAAACATTTGAAAATCAATATGTGCACCTGGCTTGTATATTAAGAACTTTTCTACCTCACCAAGGGAACAGAAAAATATTGCTGTCTTTTATACAGGATAGGATAATCAGTTATTAGTCCAGGATTTATATAGATGCAGTTAACAGTTGTATAGGTTCTCAATTATTTTTTGAAGGTCATATTGGTCTCTGTTATGTTGAAAACACAAAGAACAAGCTTGAGAGTGAAACTTGTGCATGCTGTGCATGGCACTGAAGGACAGTATGAAAGATATGTTCATGATGGTACACTGTATATTGTCAAATTGATTGGTTTTGTTATTAAGACACTATTATTGAATACCTTTCATTGAAACTTATATAGGTGACCTCATTTCATCTGGAATATACATACACAATTTATGCAATACTTTGTATTATATGTCTGTCTTTTACATCAAATAATTACTTGCCTTTAAAACCATTGTACTGTATCAGTGCCAGTTTTGAATTTTCTTAATGTAAATCATTAGGGTATACAGTCTTTGGTCCTTGTAAAATAACACTAAATCTGCATTCCTCAACCTGCTGTCTTCTACATCAGTGCTTTTCAACCTTTTCACCCATTGTACCACTTTTAGGATATGGCAGCATCCGAGTACCACCAGTCGCCTAGCAAGGTATCAAAAACTTGATGACCAAAAAAAAGGAAAAAAGTGATAAAGTACAGGTAGTTCTCGACTTACAACAGTTTGCTTAGTGACTGTTCGAAGTTACAATAGCACTGAAAAAAGTGCCCCCCAAGCCACAGCCGAGCAAGACACCTGCCTGCCCACCTGGCCGTGCTCTTCCTCCTGTCCGAGGTTTTCATTGTGAGCATTTCTGTTGAGGATTGGCAGCGGGGGTGGGGTGGTGGTGTTTGGTTTTTATTCCCCCCATCTGCTGGGTGGTTGCAGCAGGTTTTGGTCACTTCACATGACCCTGGGACACTGTGACCGTCATAAATATGAATCAGTTGCCAAGCATCTGAATGTAAATCACAAGACCCTGGAGATGCTGCAACATTCCAGCTGATCGGCGCTTCTTCTGGGCTCAGCAGAAGTGCCAGGAAGTCACGACGAAAGGTCGACTAGCCGTGAAGAAGACCCGAGTCGTCTTCGTGGTCCTAGTCGCGGCGCGAGGTCGACCTCGGACCGCGACTAGGACCGCGAAGGTGACTCGGGACTGTCGGGACGTCGAGGTCGGTAGAGAGTGAGTCCGAACACACCACGACGGTGGTCAAGTCGAGTAAGGGGAGGGGGCGATGGTGTTTTCTAGGATGCTCGCGTACCACCTGCCAGGTGCCAATGTACCACAGGTGGTACCCGTACCACTGGTTGAAAAGCCCTGTCTACATACTTTGATGTTACCGTACTACCGTGCTTCTATCAATCTTCAAATACTGTTACAGCTTCTTTAACTTCTATACTTAAATCCTTTAACAGCTGTACATACCAGGTTACCTCTGAATAAAGTTCAGACAGAGCAATAAATTCTGCCTCTGCAGTAGAAATAGCTACAGTTGTTTGCTTTCTGGACTTCCATCCAATCAAAGTCCCTCCAAATAATACCACAAACCCAGAATTGGACTTTCTGGTTTGCACATCGTTGGTATAATCACTGTCAACATAACATTTTAACTTTAATTCTTCAGAGACCTGTATTTGAAGACCCAAATTCACAGTTCCCTTCAAATACCTGAGAATTCTCTTCACACCCATCCAATGCAACTGCACAAGCTATGTCTGGTCTGGACCACTGTGACAGATATAACAGGCTCCCTATTGCTGACTGATATATCTCCTGATCACAGGCTTCACTTTTGTCCTTGCCCAAAGTGTTGTGAAAATCTATGCTCATAGGTGTTGGAGCAGAATTACAATCCTTCATGTTGTATCTCTCCAACATTTCTTCAATTTTCCTTCTTTGACTGAGAACATAGCCACCTTTTGATGGAATCAGAGACCAGTCATTGCAGGGTGCAAAGATGTCTGACTGCCTTTCACAGTGTTTATTGCTCTTATACAGTTATTCCAAGCAGCAAAAAATAACATAGCAACAGCACTTTTATTGGTGGATACTCCTTGTTGGAAACGTGATTAAAATACCAACAAAATTGGATTGGTAAGAAAAAGAGTTTATTCTGCAGAAAATAGAAAAGTGGTTTGCAAAGCGCGGTGGATCCTGGTGAGAGACTTCAACAGGAAGTTCTAAACCCAGACACCACACAAAAATATTCAAACTCATAACATTATATACACTCCTATCGCGACGCCCCCATCCCCTCCCCTTAGGTCCCATTTGAGAGGACTTCCGGGTGCACAATCTGTCCGATCCGCCTAGCCAGAATACATCATCCCTCCCCCTCAGTTACATTGTTTAGAACTTCTCTCTGACATCCTTTTGTCTTGTTAAGTGTGTCTTCTAGCCAAGCCTCCTGAAATCTAGTGCCTATGTGCAGGGCTTGGCTAATTCTTCTATTGTTAATCAATTGTGACCGTTTTATTTTTAAACTTCCTTTCTCACAAATCCACCCTTTCCATTTTTTATACTAATTTAAAAATAAAATTTTTCCTCAAATGGTTATAAACTTTCCCGGATCTCCTCTGCATTCTGGAAGTGAAGTAGTGCAGCATGTCCAGTCACCTTGTTTAACATCAGCATTTGTTTGTCACTCTTATTGGTTGCATTTACCATTCCCTCCATTGTGTTTTGTACAATACTTCTTATTATAGGGATCAAATAGGGTAAGCACATTAACACAAAAAATACAACTGCTAACATGAATAAAGCTTGTTTCCAGTTTCTAAAAATTCCTCCCAAGAACCCCTCATCATCAAGTATTCCAGTCCAGGTTTGGACCGGTACATGGGCTATTTTCCTCATCCTGGTTTTTTTTTTTATTTATTTCCTCTATGGCTTTCCCTTCATTGTCTATTTGCAGACAACAGTTGGTTAAATTAAATTTTCCTCAGACCCCTCCTTCTTCTGCCAATAAATAATCCAAGGCTAACCTATTTTGATAAATTGCAGTTCTCATTTGGGTATTTTGTTTAGCCAACTTATTTAACGCTAGCGCTGTCTCACTAGTGATAATCTCCAGAACTGCTTATAACCTAATAATGCGATTCAGCATATAAATTGGAGTCCTATATCCCCATGATCCATCTTCAGCCCAAGTGGCAAGTCGATACACCTATATTATATGTTCAGGTGGCCATTCATTATCCTTCTCAGTCCACACCCTAGGTGGGCCCCTACCATCAGAGTACCAATATGTAAGGTAACTCCGCTGCCAACTCAGGCCCCCACAGGTGGTCCAGGGACTAAACTTCATGGCATAGCAGGCATCAAAGCAGATTCTACTCTTGTGATTAGCAGAGGTACTGGTGTTCTGTCCTAATAATAATGATGTTAGATTCTTTCCACTTTGAGAGGTAAATATCTGAATGGTTTTTTGATATTTCACACTAGAGGGGTCAATGTATGTAACCCTTCCTGTTTCATTACACAGGGGAAATCGAGTGGTATTATGAACACATGTTCCCACCACCTTCTTGCAGTCCATCTGAGTATGATATGTCAAGAGTTTTGGTTATCTTATTACCCATTTTGGTGGTTCTAATGCAATCATTACAGTTATCAGAGGTATTTATACTTTGACCTTTGCATATGTTCCCGGACCCTACTACTCCCACTATAATCCATATCTTAATTACTCCTGTAACCAAGGTCATATTGAGGTCTAACATTGTCCCAATTCTGTCCACCCCTGGAAAAGTACTTCTTCCCTTTCACTTTTGACACCACCGCCTGTAACGGGCTGAGATTGGTACTCGGGACACCAGTCTTCGATGATCACTATATCACACTCTTCTCTGCAGTCTCTGTGTATCGGTGCGCAGTCTGGGCAATGGGTACAACAACAACAATTACACCAACATTTACAGTCACAAAACCAACACATTTACCCCCCCTTTTTTTTCTAATGTCTCTATATTTTGCTTTTTCTTATTATCAACTTCAAAGGGTCAGGTTGAGGCACACTTTTCCACTTGGTTGGAGCGTCCACTGGTTCTTTCACACGGGTGTAGTGGGTCCAGCCTTTCCCTGCTGTTCATACTGCTGTTTCGGATTTCAGCAGCACCTGGAAAGGCCTTCCCACTTTGGAACCAGCTTCTCCTCCTTCCAACTCCGGATCAGCACCCAATCTCCTATCTGGAATCTGTGGACTGGAAACTCCAAGGGAAGTGTTTGTGCCAGCAATCCTTGTTTCCTGAGAAAATCAAAATATCTGGACAGTTTATGCACATATTACTTCCAATAGTATTCTAGAAACCATATTAGTTGTTGCATTACTACAAGGGTACTACATGTGTAGTAAAATCTACCTGAATGCACTGAAATGGCCTAACGGCTGGAGGCTTCCCTCCCCCTTTTTGTTTCCTGATTGCTTGCCTATTTACCTTTTTACATATCAAGCATTTATCCAACATTTGTCTTGCTGCTGTATAAATTCCGATACATCCATAATGCTTCAGGAGTTCATCCACCAATGCCTGAAACCGCCCCCCCCCCAGTGGCTTCCTTCATGTAACTTCTCCAATAATCCTCGCACTATGGGTTTATTGATTACCTGCCTCCCATCCGGGAGAAACCATTTACCCTTCTCTCCTTGTTGCCCACCTATCTGCATTATTTCTTTTCTTCTGTTTCTGAAAACACAGGGATCTCTTCTAGTGTTTCTACAATGGTTATTAAGACATTTATGCTTTCTTCATTTGCTGCCCTCTTGACTTCCTCATCTACAATCCTATTTCCCACACTTTCAAAAGAATTGCCCCTCTGATGTGCATTCACATGGGTTATGGCAATTATTTTGGTCAATTCCTTTCCTTTGCTGTTAATCATTCCTCTTTCCACCCAAATTTTTCCAAAGGTATGGACCACCCCAAAGGCGTACTTTGAATCCATACAAACAGTTTCAGTCTTGTTTTCTAACAATTTTAGGGCCTGATTTAATGCATACAGTTCGCAAGTTTGGGCTGACCAGTTCTTTGGCAGGCTGCCGGATTCTACCAACTCTTTGGTGTGTCCATTTATGACTGCATATCCATTTTTCTTTGACCCATTTTCTACCCAGGAGGAGCCATCTATAAATAGTGCCTCCCTGCCCTCTACTTCCCATTTCATTCATTCATCTCTCTTTCCCCCCTTTTCTGTGTAACCCCCCCCTTCTCCTAGCCATCGCTTTGTCTGTATTTACAAACAAATTGGTTAGTAAAGAGCAAACAAAGGAGCGCTTTACCAAAAACTCTGCTTGAGTTTGTTTGCACTCTAATCTTTATTCAAAACAACATAGCTCATTTATAATCCCAAAAGTTTTCTCAACTCCTTTGTTTTAAACAAGGGTTGAATTCCAATTCCTTCTTAGGTTTTTTCTTTCTATCAGTGT